GGAGTTATTTTCTAATAGATACCTAGATGAGTTAAAAGCAGAAGGACAGAAAAAAAGTTAAAGTATGCAAAGATGAATCAAAAGAAAGCTGGAGTTGCTGTAGCAATATCAGATAAAATAGATTCCAGAAAAACGCATTATCACCAAGAATAAAGAGGTACATTACATAACCAACAGTGGAATACCCATTCTTTCATGTGTACGCAGAAGATTTAGTTTCAGAGTTTTAAAATTCCTAAGCCTGCTGTCTACATGGCTTCTTACATCTGCTTCTGCACTCAATCTGTTATATTATTATTTTGGTTGAGAATAAAGAAAGCATCTTCCCAAATAAAAATAATTAGAAAAGGGGAGTGGTAAGCTCCCTGAAGGAAAGACCCCAAGGGTCCTTAGATCACACTTAGAAAAAGTATTATGAAATAACCTGCATACAAAGTTAACAGATCACTTTTCTTCTCTGCATTGCCAACATTGCACAAAACTTTGTAGTAAACACTAACTTCTTTGGTTAAATAACTGTTTGAGAAGTAAACATCACTAGTAAATTGTCTAAAGCTAAACTTTAGAAGAAACACCTGAATCCACTGGAAAAAAAAATGTAAATGTAATAAAGTTGGAAGGAACACAGAGCTCTCAATTTCTAATTTGAAGGAATGGGTTAAAACTCAGCTCCTGATGATCTCCTCAAAATACTGTAAAGATCTGGGTATGGTGGCACATGCCTATAATCCCAGGAACTCTGGAGGCTGAGGCAGGAGAATCTCAAGTTCAAAGCCAGCTCAGCAATTTAGTGAGGCCCAAAGCAACTGAGGCCCTAAGCAACTTACAGAGACTCTGTCTCAAAATAAAAATAAAATAAAAAGGGCTGGGGATGTGGCTCAGTGGTTAAGCACACTAAAAAAAAAAAAAAAAAAAGTTATAAAGATTAAACAATATAAAGTATTGAACATGATTTATAGTGACTTACAGACTCTAAAACACTATATATTCATATACACACAAGAGAATATAAGCACTAGATTCTTCTTGCAGGGAGAGAAAGAACATTATTTTTCCTTAGAAAGAATTTAAGATTTCATTTTGCAATCCAAAAGAAGAATTATCTTTTTTTCTGGTCATACAAACAGAGGGTATAATATATTTAATGAAATGGTGTTTTGTAATTTACTAAGTCCAAAGACTGTCTAATTTAGACTGAAGAATGAAACTTTATTCTAGAACTTTGAATATGTTTTATGTTTATATTCAAAAATTACTTTTTAAAATTTTTTTTTTAGTTGTAGTTGGACACAATACATTTATTTATTTATTCATTCATTCAGCTATTTATTTATTTATTTATTTATTTATTTAGTGGTGCTGAGGATTGAACCCAGGGCCTCACGCATGCTAGGCAAGTGCTCTACCGCTGAGCCACAATCCCAGCCCAGTAAGTACTTTTATGGAAAAAATTAAATTGATTTTTTGGTTTGAACTGCTTTTCAAGAAAAAAATGGCATTATTGTTCATTTATATTTAGTTTCCAGTGTCCATTAACAAAACAGTCCAATTTTAAAATGCCAAATATTGCCATTGGTATGAAGTATGTTTTAAAGAAACAAATGCTTTCTACTGCCCAAAGACAACTTGTCTTACCTGGATCTCCACTGAAACATAATAGATTTAACATACAAGTTTACTTCTACTTTATCTACCACAAAGAAAACACTAAGTAACTTGGTTTCTCTTTCTTTCTTTTTAGCGGGGAGAGGGGTTTAAAAAAAACTACAGCAGCCCCTAGCATACATGAGGCACTGGCTACAAAAAAAAAAAAAAGTTGTTTTTTAAACAAACAAGAAACCAAACAACCATAAGGACAAAAGGGAAGAGGACAGCAACAGAATTTTGTAAACTGCAAAGGAGCTGAATTTATAGTTGATTCACCAACAAAAACTAAAACCCAAGTCAGCAATGGAGAAAATGAAGAACTAAAATTCCCTAACCTTAGAAACTCCTTAAACCTTAGAACAGCTCAAAAAGCTAGATAGACACACCAACTATTTTGTAAGGCAAAGGCAGGCATAGGTAAAAACAAGAAGATGAGCTGAAAGACTGTAAGAAGCAGTCTGACCCCCAGATCCTTCCCTCTGCCCTCTTATAAGATTGGTTCAGTTTATTCAGAAAGTACACAACCAAAGGGATTCTTAAAAACAGGGCATCAGAACAAGCCATGCACAAGCACACTGAAAAACAGAGAAATTAAGTGAACATTCATACTATGAATATTTAGATGATTCCCAGTCTTCTGCCCTGATGCTAACCTCCAAGAAAACCGGCAGCTAAAGTAATTCCATGTGGGGGAGTAGAAAACATCAATCGGAAACATTTGCTTCTCAGAAAATAAACCACTACAACACATAAGACCTAGTCACACAGGGAACACACTGATGAAGGGATCCCGCAATATTAACCCACTTATTGAAGGTCAGTTGAAGTTCCTACCCATATGCAAAAAACTCTATTTGTTTCTCAGTGTGGTTGATTTTTTTTTTTGGTAGTGCTGGAGATTGAACCCAGGGCTGCTAGGGAATCTCAGGTCATATTTCAATAATAGATTTTTTTTAAAAACCATTTGTTGATTCTCATGATTGAAAAACATTTTGCATACATTATCCCTAATCTTCTTAGCAACTCTGCAGATATTTCCACTAAAAAACTGAGGTTCTGAAAGGTTTCACACATTTGACCATAATAACACAGAATGCAGATTTTGAAGTGGGGAAGCCAGGATTCTAAATCTTTCTCAGTCTGTTTCCAGTAGTTATGTTTTTTCAACAATAATACCCTCTCATTAATAATCACCAACTATATTGAAGTATTTACATAATGCTTAGGGACTTGTGAAACAAAACTATAATTTTTAAAAAATGCACAAGTGACACAATAGCATGTTTAATTCATAACTAGTAAACTTAACTTTTAAAAACATACACACTTGAAACTTCTCTATATAATTCTCATTCAGATTTATGCAATGGGATTACCTTATGGAGGACAAAGTCCTTGAGTATATCAGTGAAAGGAAAGGCCAAAGTAATACGCTGATAAGGTACACTAATGATATAAAGTACTTTAATTCAACTTCCTCCATAAGAAAAATTTTCAGTTCTACTCTGCACAGTGAAACCCAGATAATATATTCATGATAAACTCTAAAAGGCTGAGCTTCAGCTAATAATCTAGCCTAGGGATTGATAATGCCATAATTAAAAATGTTCCATGAAACATTTTAATTAAGGAAAAAAAGATAATACATGTCTTCAAGTAATAAAGGCAGACAGCTGGCTTTTAGAGTTTATTTTGGCTACATAATTATAGAATGTTTATCATCCAAAGTCTCATCTCAGATTATTAAAGAAAATTCTCATGAAGATATTCCTCCTTCCACCCACCAGCATCATTATAGATAATATACTGGTAACATAATGGAAGTAAGCAACCTTAGATGTTAAAAGAAGAAGAAGGAAAAAATAAAAATAAAAAAAGCCTTCTAATGCAGCCTTAGATAACAAAGGAAGAGGCAGAAATAACATTCTTCCCAGATGGTACAAAAAGTAAATAGGTTCTTATTAATCTCTAACCCATATCTATGGGGGAACTTCTCCCCATTTCTTGACAACCAATCTCCCATATTCCAATATATCCAAAGGATGTATTCAAAGATTCCTTCCTCCTTTCCCTTCCCTTCACTATGTCTTCCCTTCATTTCATTTCTAACCAATAATTCACTTTACTGTTGTTTGGTACATACATTTCTCCAAATTCCCTGTTGTTCTCCTTTCTTTCTTTACTATCTTTTTTTACTATCTCCTTTCTTTACCATCTCTGAGCCCCCGCCCCCATCACTTTAGACACCTAGGTCACATCTAGGTTAGGTTTCTCTCTTTTCCCCTCTCTCTCTTGAATATAGGATCTTGGCTGGCCTTGAAATCCTGGGCTCAAGCAATCTGTCCATTTCAGCCTCCTAAGTAACTGAAACTACAGGAGTGAGCCACTGCTCCTAGCTCCATTTTTCCCCCAGTACTAGGGATTAAACCCAGGGCTTTGTGCATGCTAGGCAAGCATTCTACCACTGAATTTCATTCTAGCCCTTTCATTTTATTTTTTTTTATTTTGACACACGTTCTCGCCAAGTTGCTCTGGCTGGCCTTGAACTTGGAATTCTTCTGCTTCAGTCTCCCAAGTCCAATGTTTACTTCTTAAAGCCAAGAATGCTATTCCACAAAAAAAGAATGGTTTCATGATCAAGTCACAAAGCACACCAGTCACTTAATTAGACCAGAAATTCTGAAATGAAGAAACTGTTTAACTTTATTAACCAGCTATTCTCAAACTTATTAAGCTAATAAACTCCTTTCCCCCCAACCTATTAATATCCCCCAGAACATACACTTAGGAAATGTTAATCCTAACCATTGCTAAAATATGCTATAAAAATATTATACTTCATCTTATAGTCTAAAGTTTATAAAATGTCACTGCCTTTGGAAAACCCAAAAATGAATTTACACAGAAAATAATTACCAAGTTGCTGGGTGAAAACACCACATGTGTATTTACCTTATCTATATTCATTTAAAAATTAGAACCGTAATCTCCAATTGTAATTTTGTCATTGCAGAAACATTGGGGAAGGAGGGTGAAAAGCAAAATTTTTCTTCAAGTCAAGTATATAGTATGGAATAGACTATTTTATAAATGTTAAGATCTGAAGCTGTTTAATTTTCCTTTGTTAATTTTCATAGTTGGTCTTTTTTTTCCCCCAAGGGGGAGAAAAGAATGGAATTTTATTAACTTTATGATCCAATGAATATACAGGCATGCCATGTTAGACCTTTCAGAAGATAATAAAATGATTAAAAATCTTATTGAAAATATGTCAGTTCTCCCTTTAAGGTATATTACAAATTATTTACTTCACAGGTTTTAAAGAGTATATTTCAAAGTACACAACATTTTACCTGAAAGCTCCGTAAAGTGGTCTGTACCAACAGACAAATGAACAAGGAGTAAAAAGCAAGAACCACAGGATACTCAATCCAAAATCAACCCCTCTTGCAGAATCAACAAAAAACCAAGCCAAGCATCCGAAGATATTTAGAAACAGTGTTACAGCGTGGACTGTGGAATCAGAAAACAAAATAGAAAAGAAATGTTTACATTCAATTTATTAATTCATCAACAAAAATTGTAAATGAAAAAAAAAACTTCCTAAGAATAAATGTATTCTATCCCATGTTTCCATTTACTATTTTTTAAAACACTGTTTCATACACACTTGATTTAAAAACAAGAGTACATACAGGAAAATGAGTCCTAATACATGCACTGTTGAAAAAATTCTATTGGCCCTCTCCTCCTAATAGGGAATTACACACCTAACCAAAAAAGCACCACTGTAAGGGTTTCCTCTGAAGCAATCATGTGGTTGCCTTTGGATCCAAGGCCCAAGAAGAAACGTGGTGCCTACTCAGAAAGAGCCAGGACTTAGGAGGAGAGAGGTGCTATACTCACAACTGTATTTTTAGATAATGGAGCTACAGACTAAAAAGTGTTCTAAAAATAAAAACACAGTAGCAATTGCCAGGGAGTTTATAATCAATCTATAAAGATTATTAATTCATCTTCAGAGAGTTGTCCATTTTTTAAGTCCTAAAAATACCTTTTTAGTAGAATATTAAAGTTATTATCAATACCACCCCACCCCAGGATCCCCATATGCACACACAACATGATGCATGTTGGCTACTAAGGCAGGCCTTTCCTGGGGGTTAATACACAGAGACCTTGGCAAGCTCTCCCTATGTGGTTAATAAAGACTTTCCCCAACAGATTAAAAACAAAATGTCTGAATAATATTTCACTACACTATGATCCTAAGAACCATATTTGCCCATTACAATTAATAACTTTTTAAAAGCATTCTTCAGCCAGGCATGGGGGTGCTTGCCCATTAGTCCAGTGACTCCAGAGACTGATGCAGACAGATCACAAGTTCCAGGCCCATGTCAGTAACTTAGCAAGAACCTGTCTCAAAATAAAAAATATGCCTGGCATGGTGGTGCATGCCTATAATCCCAGGGCCTTAGGAGGCTGAGATAGCAGGATTGAAATTTCAAGGACAGCTTTAGCAATTTAGGAAGACCCTTAGTAACTTAGTGAGATCCTGTCTCAAAATAATTTTTTTGAAAAGGGCTAGGAACGTAGCCCAGTGGTAAGGCACCCGTGGGTTCAATTCCCAGAACCAAAAAATAAATAAAGGATTCTTTAAAAATTTATTCACAGGTTGAATTATAGAAATAAATTCTCATGAAAACTAAAATACTATAAAATGTAAATTATCAATAAAAATATGCCAAATTATGACTTGAATTAAAATTAACAAATGAAAAGAATTATTCAATCTAAATAATAAGAAACTCAACATATATTTTAAAAAGTTTTAAGATCTCTTTATGAAATAAAATCAATAATTAATGGAACAGGATAAAACCACATATCCTAGGATGCTCCAGACTTGCTCTTATCTAATCACTAGATAAATAAAACTCTCAAATGAAATAGCTCCAGCAGAGCCGTGAACACCCAGATTATGCCCATTTAATATTAAGACAACCACTTCACCTTTAGTTTCTCAGTTAAAGATATGGCAGGAGCTCTTCCACTTTCAAAATTTCATTCCCTGCTAATCCGCAAAAGAAACACTCACCAAGTACTCTATTTCCATTAGATTTTTAATTCTCATGAAAATTAGCTTACCAATAAATTCACTAAAAATTCTTTTCCTCAAAATAAAGGTAGTTGTTAGGGCTTAAAAATAGAATTCAAAATTCTGTGAAATATTATATTATTATTCTGTATCATTATCTAATCACCTAAAAAAGTTTCAAATGTTAAGAACATGCTAACTTTCAATCTTCACAGGAATAATTTTTATTATTAATTTATTAATAATAATTTTCATCTCCTAATCCACTAAAAATATGTATATATGCATGTTTTAAAGTTGACAAAAATTCTTCCAGGTGTAGATAAAAATGAATTTAATTTTGTGTAATCTACTAAAATTTTTTTCCTAAATATTTTCCTGGTAACCAACAATCATGATCAATAAGTCATTTACTTGTATCCCAGTGAAGATTAAAATGTCTACTTAATCTGTCCACTTTTACAGAGATCAGAAAATGTATAAGAAAGGCAATGTAATGTAAAACATGCACATGATCTATTTTGCTAATTTCAATCCAATTTAAGGGAGCAATAAATCTATGCTGATTAACTCTCAAGTGTAAGTAGAATGCTAAAGAAATCTTTAGGCTATTTTGTTTATATGATTTGTAAGTTGGATAATTCTCTCTTACATAAAATTTCAACTTGCTGTATTAGGCACTCAAATGTAGAATTAATGAACCTAAATTTGCAATTATCACAATATTCTTCTCAATAAATCCTGAATTACAGTGCAGACACCCAACATGGCATATTACCTTCTTTGCTAAATGGTCTTGAATACAGCTGGTTTGTTTTTCCCTTTTCTTTGTTTAATTAAAAAAATACTTAAAAGGGTTAAGATTAATTTCACAGTGATATTTCCATGTATATGCATATATATATATATAATGTATATAATAATACATATATAATTTTTTTTGGTGTGGAGGTGTGCTACTGAATCAAAACCAGGGCTTCACACATGCCAGGCAAGAACTCTGGTGAACTACATCCCCAATCCTTTCATTTATTTTGAGATAGGGTCTCACCAAGTTGCCAGGCTGGACTTGACCTTGCTATTCTCCTCACCAGCCTTACCAGTAGCTGGGATGATAGGAATGAGTCACCACCATACTCAGCTCAGTGATATTTCTAATTGATATAGTTCAGTTCTTGTACAGGGTAAATTATTTTCCCTAGGTCAGATACCTTTGAAGACTTATCTTTATCATATTTGTATAAAATAATGTACATCATTTTTAAATGCACATTATTTCTTTATTTTGGTACTTGTAAATGGCATAACATGGAAACCTAGACCCAGGGCTCTAGTCTGGCTATCCAACTTCAGCATTACTTGTGTGATGTTGGACAAGTGATTCAAATCCTCCAAGCTTAATTTCCCTACTTACAAAACTAAATAACATAGTGCCTGACTCACAATGTGGTTAGGACTTAAGAAGATAATGTATATAAGAGATCAGTACTATGATTGGAACAAAGTAAATCCACAAATATTGGCTCTCACTATCATTATTATTATTACAGTAGAAGCATTAGTCAACCCCAAATCATCAATAATAGATAATTCTTGAAAATAACTTCCTAAAACAGCCTAAATTCTATAAAATTTAGGCATATTACTAAGCTGGCAGTAAATATTATTTTGTTCCAAATAATGCTTCTTCAAAACAGAATCCCAACAAAACATTATTTTGTTCCAAATAATGCTTCTTCAAAACAGAATCCCAACCGGAATTTTTGAGTCCTCTTGAATACCAGTTAACAGATCTACCAACTGAACAGAATTGGGGGAAACTATACTCAATTACATTATTTCTCAGAGATTCAGAACATTATATATTTTGATGACAAAACAGATATCAGCATTGAAACCATCAGTATTGGTAGTCAACTATTAGTTGAAATTAATCATCTTCCCCACTCAATCTCTATTTATTAAATACCTTGTATAATTTTCTTCAGACAAAATTCTATCTCCTTTCATCAAAAAAGGAAAAAAAATTCTTTTTGTTAAGTTAAAGAACTTACAAAATGCTAGGCCAATTTCTGTCCATTTGAAAAAAATACATACATAAAATATATATGCAGCTATAATATATATTTGATTAAATGAATTGGTTAGCATGTGTGTGTGTGAAATCACACCTTAAATATTAAAAAAAATAGCAATACTGGTGATTCAGCAAGAGATATAGGCCAAAAAGAAAATCTCAAAAGAAACCTCTAAGAGTTAAAATTAAAAAAAAGGATTATCCAGAAGGAACTGCTTCTGATATTCCAAAATGACTTCACCTATGTGAAGAGTGTTCCTAAGAAGAATCTATTTAGGATGGCAAAAAAGTCTCACTAATCATAAAGTAAAAACACAAATTTCATTCTTTAAGTGTGTACCCTAAAAATCATGCCTCCCCCACAGTCACAAAGGTGAGAAGCCATAACTGCTGGCTTCCCTACTGACATGATGATATCAAGTGAGGTTGAGACTACTGTCTGGAATAAAAATAAAACAGAGTAAGTGGGAAGTCTGTATACACACAGCAAAACTGTTCACAGCTTGACATTTTATTTTAGTATTCTATGAGTTGTAATTACACTCAAAGCAATGCGAGCATCACAGCCTAAAACGTCTGCGCTACTGTTCTATTCAATAAGATGAACTGGATTGCTTAAGTACTTTCAAGAATAAAAGCACTTACACCACTTGAAAATGAAAAGTAAACTGCCCAAAGCTATTATTTAAATTATGGTTTATAATATTATAATATTTTATGTCCCTTTGAAAAAGTAGCCATCATGCCTACTTTTAAAAGAATTTAAATCGTCGTCTTCTGCATAAAAATAGTATGCATGATTTTTTCAAAGCAAATCATGTCTATGATTCTTTCCATGAAGGAAAAAGGACCATTACAAAATCCCACCAATGTGATAGAGAAGGTAACCTTTCCTCAAAAGCCAGTTCTCAATTTACAGGTTATCCTCAGCCAAGGGCTCTTATTGCCACATACAGTGCAAGTTTTAAGTATATAAATATGATATTTCATTCTGAAAATTATGATTATTAAGGTCTACAGAAAAAGACCAGTTTACTATCCTATGCTCAATATATCAGTTCTGATACGATACATTTTTAATAACAAAAAATATAAACTTTAAACAAATAAAAAATTTGTTTTATACTCACACATCCACAAGTAGTACATAAGCTTTACTGTCTTTTGGAATTCTACAGGAATATCTACAGAAAAATCCTGATAGAAACAAGGTCCCACAGGAAAATTGTCAGGAAGAGGTGGCCAATTATTTTTTCTGCCTGTAAATTGAAAACAAAAAGTTAATTATATCAAATGTTTTATTCTTACTGGTTTCATAGTAAAGAAACCTATTAAAAGATGTTACATTTTAAAATGTAACACTATCTTTGCATTTCTATAAGTTTGAAGGCCAAGTTTTACATTTTTAAAATTTTTTCAGAATATCATTTTAGAAAATAATAGATGGTAAAATAGCTTTCCAGTGTCACATCATATCATGTTTAGCATGCACCATTTATGCTCAGGAGAAACCAGACACAAAAAAGAAAGTACTGGTATATACACTGTGACTCTGCCCTAAAATTTGGCTATCATGGAAAGGCCAGTCAGTTTTTCCACTTCAATTTCTTTCTCAGCATCTTATATCATTCATTATAATTCTGCTAAAATTCCTAACCCTTGTGGAGAAGAAAGACCTTTAGTTAAAGGTATTTTAGAAACACTGATCCCCATTAAGCCTTTCATTTCTCCTATAGACACCATGGAGTTAACAGTAGAAAACTGAACCTCAAGTTTTCTACTGTTAACTCCATGAAACTAACATCAAAGAATCAAATTTGGAAATCTCAAAGTCTGGCTAAAAGACCACCACCCAAAATACATATGTGAGAAAACCACAAAACAGGGAGAAAATATGAAAAAAATCACAAGAAAGAAGTGGGAAAATTATAGCATCCTCAAAAATCTACATTAAAAAAATTTGAACTGTAAGGAGAGAAAATGTATCTATATAAAGAAATTAGATTAAAAATAAGACTGAAGAAATGGCAAGGGAAAATTAAAAATAAAGCAGGAAGTCAAACATAAAAGTAAAAGGTAAAAATAATCAACAAAAGATCACTTTCCAATTTTAAATATCACATCCCACAACTTTTTTAAAAAAATTAAGTTCTAAAGACATCTGTAGACCAGGAAAATTTTCATAATGGAAAAAGCATGACCTACTTCTGATTCTCCCCAGCATGCTCCCTCAATTACAGTTGTTATAATATTCAAATTTTGTACAGTTTAGACATTTCTCATAACAGTCTCATACAATCTGAGAAGTGGCAGAAAATCAGAGTGAAGATCAAGGCTCCAGAACCATAAGTGCCTCACCACTTACAGGCTAAGCCAGTGTAGGCACCTTCACCTCTTGAAGGCTTAACTTCTTCATCAATGTAAAATGAGAACAATCGTGCCACCCTTCACAGGATAGTACTAAGGATTAAATATGAACTAATAGATGAAAAATGTACTAATAGATACCAATCTGTTTATTTCTTACTCTTTGTTAATTACTTCCCTTCCTAAAACCTCTCTTGGAAATCATTTTATAGTGATGCTAAGAAAATAGGACAAATTTTAGTTAAAGATATTTTAGAAACATTGATCCCCATTAAACCTTTAATTTCTCCTGTAGATGCCATCTCTGATGCTGCAAGCTAGAAGATGACCCAGAATAAATATGTCTTCATGAGGCCCTAGATCTACACTTTGTGAAATAAGGAAGAAATAATTCTGTTCATTACTGTTGTCCTAAATGTGTTATTCCATCCCCAGGCATTCTAATAATGACTTTCCCAGCTCCCTTAATCCTTCTTATCCAGAGATTGCTGGCTTCCCCTAAAATACTCCCTTCAAGTGATCCTTAGTAGTAACAGCCTGAAAAAATGTTATGGCAAATTTCTTTCTTTGGCATCATATAAATACCCTGGGCTTCCTGGGGTCGCCATAAACATATTTTTCCAACATATTTTGACAAAGATAATGTACTTGTGAGAATTGCAGCCAATAATTTGAAACTGGACTGAATATATCTAGTAAGAATCAAATGTGGGGCACACTCAAAAGTACTTACAAGATTCAATAGACCCAGAGAGCCCAAGAGCAGAATCAAAGGCTCCTGGGCTGAGAATGAACCAAAGGTATCAAAATTGCATTCATTTTCTCTGTGATGAGGCCAACTTTGTTCTAATCTATCAAAAGACTATGCAAATTAGCTAGGATCAGAGAGCTACAGAGTATCAAGTAGGCAATCTGTTGTGTCTGATCTCCTTGCTAGAACAGGAAAATAGGGCAGGATCTTATCCACAAACCAAATGACCTAGAGCTGGGATAGATATTTTTATTTCAAACTTCTCTGCATACTACCATGTTGACTGAGGTTTTGCATTTCTCGTTCTCGACGATCTAATTCTGCAGCTTTTCTTTCTAGTTCTTCTTGGCGCTTAAGAAGTTCAGCTTGAGCCAAGGCATGTTCCTAAACAAAAATTATCAATATGTGAATAGATAGTCAGAGTATAAAATATTCTATCATTTATAAGCTATCTCCTTCTCTCTTACTACCATCTTAGAAATCTAAAAATCTAATTCAACCAGGTACAGTGGTACATGCCTATAATCCCAGCTCCTCAGGAGACTGAGGCAGGAGGATTGCAAACTTGAGGCCAGCCTTGGCAACTTAAGGAGATGCTATCCCCCCAAAATAAAAAGGCTGGAAAAATAGCTCAGTAGCAGCATAGTGACCCTAAAGTCAAGCCCCTTTACTATAAAAGGTTTTTTAAAAACTAATTCAAATGTGCTTCCAAAATACAGAAATTTGTTGGAAGATTACAATTTCAGAGAACATTATAGAGATCTGTAGCCCAGTCTGGTCTTTCAGTTATGAAAACTCTCCAAGGGAATGTTGAGTCCACAGGACAGGAAAAAACCCTCAGTAACTGAGTAGTCAGTCTTCAGATATTCTGGAAAATGAAATTAAGGTGACCTTTGTGCTTAAATGAAAGTGAGAACAGAGGTAAAGGGAACAACTAAAGAAAAGTGACAAATAGAAAAAAAGATGGGGGAGCAATTGAATTGGCTCTGATAAACTAGGTTAAATGACATATAAGGCTCCTACTAATGTAGGAATATTTTATAATACCTTAAACATAAAAAGACACCAAGGTGAAAAAACAATAGGCTTAACAAGTCTAAAAACTCCATCTGCTTGTGTATTAAGCCACGCAACTTATTTACATCCATTTTTCTAGGGCTTTTGCCATCTTCTACCTCCTCCTGCTAGCCTCTGTTTAATATACACTGTAACTCCATTTCTCAGTATATATTATAGTCTCATTGTTACCATAATGGCAAAAGTTTTTTATATTTTTAGTTATAGATTCACACAATACCTTTACTTATTTATTTTCATGTGATGCAGGGGATCGGACCCAGTGCCTCACATATGCTAGGCAAGGACTCTACCACTGAGACACAACCCCAGCCTGGCAAGAATTTTAATGTATTAAAAAATTGAGACGAAAGGCAAGAAAAATTTCATTATACAAATTGTACACCAAGATGATATACTAATAATTCCTAATAGTGGAATAAAGCAAATGCTACAGGCTGAGAAAGAGGGAGTACATGCTGTGACAAGATGGCTAATCCAGACTCAAAAGTAAATTAAATTTCTTTTTAAAAAATAAGGACGGCAACAGTACAAAAAATTACTTTGCTCTGAAATGTTATTAATACTATAATTTCAATATGTTATAGTATCAATATATTATTGATACTATAAATGTTATTGATACTATAATTTCTACTGTAAATTCACAGATATCATAAACTAACCTTTGCAATCTGTGTATAAGCTGGATGTTCCTCTGTTGGTTTCATTATTGCTGGCTGTGTATTGGGTACATTGGGCATTTTCACACTGCCTGGTGGAGGCTAGGAAGATTAAGAAAAGGACAAATTATATAAGACAGAGATCCAACTTAAACTTCTTTCAAAAGTTATAATACTAATAAAAAAGCAAAATCCCAAGATCTGCCTCTCTTTGTCCCCTGCCCTCTCAGCCTTGAGTGTATGGCAAAGAAGTGCTTAAGTTCTCCATCTCCATTTCTCAAACTCATTCACTTCTCAATTCTACAATTTTCCTACTACCTTTAACACTGTACCACACACACTCTCCTCCAGGACACCACATGTTAAAAAAAAATCTTTTAAGGATTTCTTTACAGTATAGCAGACAGCCTCAAACTAAAGAATGATAGTGAGTATCAGGGTATTCAGGTATATACCTACTCAGGAGGCTGAGGCAAGATTACTTTAGCCCAGGAGTTTGGGGTCTGCCTGGTAACACAGTGAAATCCCATCTCTTAAAAAAACTACACTCAGGTTTGCAGCCAATTCTTCCATTTTCAGAAAGCTCCATGCCTGTGTCTTGGAAAGTCTATAGGAGACCTCTTGGTAGAACCTCCCTAAGACCCCTTGAGAAGAGTAAGGGGGAAGGCATGGAGAATCAAAAAATAAACTACATGACCTTCACTTTGCCAACAAAGATGAACTGCATTTGAAAGCAGCTGCAAGACCCAAAAGTACACAGGTATCTATGAGCCCATGGGGAATTATTAAATTATGGTATATACCTTAAGTATAGACATTGAGGAATGAATATATATTTAAAATATTTTTTTAGTTGTTGATAGACCTTTATTTAATTTATTTATTTATATGTGGTGCTGAGAATTTAACCCAGTGTCTCACATATGCTAGGCAAGTGCCCTACTACTGAGCCACAACCCCAGCCCCATGAATAAATATATTATGTATATGTATATACAAAATAAATTGGGAATTGAATTACCTACCATACATATATCTTAATGTAGTGCAGACATTAAGATGAATAAAAGTATGGAAGAATGACTTTTTAAATACTTAATGAAGCAAAGGAAACTACAGAGAAGTATGCATAGTATCTTTTTAAAATAAACACAGATTTATACATACTCAGAAAATATCTGGAAGACCCAGGAAACAGTTTTCAGAGATGTTCACTTCTTGTTTTATTATATTTGTATATTGTTTTCCTCTCCCAACATGTACATCATATACTACTTTTTTTTAAGCTGTAGATGATACAATCTTTATTTATTTCTTTTTATGTGGTGCTGAGGATCGAACCCAGTGCTGAGGATCGAACCCAGTGCCTCATGTGTGTGAAGCAGGCATTCTACCACTGAGCTACATTTTTAAAGTTAAAAAAAAAACAACACATTCTTAAAGAATTATTTAGAATGACCATAAAAAAAGAAAGAAAGGATGACAGAAATTTGAGAAGGCAGGACACAAAAAGGAAGAGGAAGGGAGGGAGAGAGGACAACAGGCAGGCAGGACCTAGAGAAGTTGAAAGGTCAGCACCATTCAAAATGGAAAATACCACTAATGTAACAGGATTTTACCCCAACTCAGCAAAGAGCAACCCTGAAAAGGAAGCCAGTCATAATCAAAGATAACAACTAAAGTATGGCTGATTCTAAAATGCGAATGGAAAAATAAAGACTAAAAACAGATCAAACAATTATAATGGAAAAATAAAATGGGGGGACCTATGATATCAAGGCTTACTACCAGGCTGCATTAATTAAGGATATGATATAGATACAAGAACAGAAAAATATACCAACATACAAAACAGGTACAGAAACAAACCCATTCAAATGTAGAAACTTGATACATAACAGAGGTAACACTACTAAATAGTGGAAAAATAATGTTATTAATCAATAAAAATAGTGCTGGGATGTTAGGGTCTGTAAACAAGTCAAGATGGCGCTTGGCATTCTGCCATAGGGAGTGGTTTGTGAAGCAACGCCAGTGAGCCATTAAGGGTGGAGATTCCTTATTGGTTGACTGCTGTATCTAGTTTATGTTAATTAAGATAAGCTGTGTGGAATGTATATATACCCCTCCTGTCCTACAATAAACGGCTCCCACTCCTGCTGTATCAATCTACACAAGTTGTTCGTCACACACACACACACACACACACACCCCCCGGTTATTTTGCTGCAGCCGGACTGTGGCACTGGGATAAATAGATGATCACATAGAAAAATAAAACTAGATTTTTTACTTCATACTACATACAAAAATAAATCCAATGTAGATCAATGACCTAAAAGTAAAACTTACATACTTTTAGGAGAAAAAAAAGGTGAATATTTTTATAAACTCAGAGCAAAAGCTTCTTGAACGTGAGCTCTGGAAATCTTGTGTTTTGTTTATGGTGTATCTCAAATGCCTCAAACGGTGCCTAGAATAATTACTCATCATTAATAAGACTAGCCAGGTACAGTGATGGACACTTGTCATTAGAGTGACTTAAGAAGTTGAAGTAGGAGGATTGCAAGTTCAAGGCCAGCCGAAGCAACTTAGCAAAACCCTGTCTCAAAATATAAAATAAAAAAGACCTGGGGATATATGGTAAATCACCCTGTGACCCATCCCCAGTACAAAAAAAAAAAAAACTAGAAAACACACAAACTACAAAAGACTGAAAAATTCAAGTATTTTGAAATTGAACAAGGTCAAATCACAAACTAGGAAAATCACATAATTTTTATATGTTCTTGGTAGCAATTTCAGATTGTAGCTATTATAACAAATCCATACAAATGCAAGCTAACAGAAAGATGGACAAAAGATCTGAACAGGAATAGCCAATAAGCATATGAAAAGATGTCCAACCTCCCTACTAATCAAGAAGTGCAAAGGGCTAGGTGGCAGAGCTCTTGCCTAACATGTGCAAGACCCTGGGTTCAATCCCCAGGACCACACTAAAAAAAAAAAAAAAAAAGCAAAACCAATGACATATTATTTCAAAAATCAGGAGACAGAAAATTGTAAAATCTAACAATACCAAAATCTGGAATATACAGTACATTCAAAATGGTGGTAATAGATGAAAATTAAAGCATTAACTAAGATAACCTATCAAGTCAGTGGAAATAGAAAAGACTATCAACCAACGGTATTGGGACAGTTCTTTAAATTTGGGAGTGGGGAATCAAATCCCTGTATCTCAGCAGAATAACTTCTAAATGGATTAAAAATCCAATGTAAAAAAAGAAAGACAGTAGGAGTAGACAAGTTACATAGAGTATAGATGACTATTTGATATTAGGCTAGAGAATAACCATCCCAAACATTTCCAAGAGATGAAGGGAGAGAAATCACAATGAAAAGATTTTTAGTTTTTTTATTTTTAATGTTTTAGCTGTTGATGGACACAATACCTTTATTTTACTTATTTATTTTTATGCAGTGTTGAGGATCAAACCCAGTGCCTCACGCGTGCTAGGCAAGCACTCTACCCCATGAAAAGGTAATTGACTACATGAAAGTATACTACTTTGATGACACAAATTATTTCACAACCAAGATTTAAAGGCAAAATCTAAATAATAAGTAATACATACAACAGATAAAAAATTAGTAAGGAATAGATAAATATGTTACTGGGGGAAATGCATTTTTAGAAACACCGTTTAACATGCAGATTATTAAATACAAAAAGGAAAGTAAACATAAAATGCAACCTCATTAGTAATCAAAGGAGTGCAAATTTAACCTGATTACTTTTAAAATTATTACTACAGAAGTATCGCTACATTTTGGAAAAGATGTAATAAAACAAATATCCTTCTACATGGAGTATAAACAAGCACATATAAAAATCCTGAAGCACAATTTGGCACTGTATATCAAGAGACACAGAAACATTTATACCGATGTTCCATGAATAGCTGGCTTTTAAAAATATCCCAAGGAGATAATTGAAGATATTCACAAATATGAGTAGACCATGAATGCTAATTATAGCTTTATTTATTAAAGGAGAGTTAGAAACAATCCAAAAGCCCCAAAATAGGGAAATTGTCAGATAAATTATGATTCAGTCATAGGGGAGTATATTATACAGCTATTTAAAAGCTCTAAAGGCTAACTGGGTGTGCAGTGCAGTGGTAGCGTGCTTGCCTAGCAAGCACAAAACCCTGGGTTCCACGCCCAGCCCCATAAAAAGAGAAAGAGAGGGAAATTTCTGAAAGAGTATTTAATATAATGGGGAAGCTTGGACAAATAATAAGTTATAAAACAAAGCTGACGGGCTGGGGTTGTAGCTTAGTGGCAGAGCGCCTGCCTTGCACGTGTGAGGTGCTAGGTTCGATCCTCAGCACCACATAAAAATAAATAAAATAAAACAAAGCTGAATATACAGTATAATTCTAACATTTAAAATATGAAAATAGATCAAAATATTCATAGTGATTATTTCTGGGTAGTGGGGTTAATTGCTTTTGTTGTATTTTAATCGCCTTTATAATATTGCTACCAAAAGAATCATAAATTCTGTTTCACCTGCCTGTTTTCCCCATCCCAGTATCTCATATTAATAGCCAAAAAATCCTGAAGGTAATCAGTTCTAACTGTTCTCCAGTTAGATAAAGTGTGAACATAAAGTCCTGCCCACTTGGTTTAATAAGCAGTGACAATGAAACATTGACTAAATAAAGTGCCTGGCGAAGTCAATTTGGTAGCATACCTCAGGAAATTCCCCAGGAACTCACCCCGAAGAAATTTTACTGTTAGTACTTTATTATTAAATAACAAATGAGGTATTAAGTGAAATAAATCAATGGATAAGGATGAAGGTGGGTTAGAGTTAGTAATTTGATACATTTGAGATTATAACTGCTTGCAGGACAGCAATGCTGAAGAACAACAAATCTCTAATAGCACTGATATTAATCTAACAGCTATTATCTCCACAATTTCTTTACACTTGTAGATGTTAACTAAATCTCTGTCCAGTTGAGATGCAGTATTTTCTTCAGCTACAACACACTTGATTAGCCACCTCAAACCAAGTACAACTCTAGAGG